GATGATGATGATGATGATGATGATGATGATGATGATGATGATGATGATGATGACGATGGTGATGATGGTGATGATGATGATGATGATGATGATGATGATGATGATGATGATGATGATGATGATGATGAAGTTTGACAAAACTTTGAATATCTTATTAAATATACACAACTATAAATCTGTTCAAGTTTCTGTTATTTTTTTCTGCTGTAAAACTTAAAACAACGATGATACTGACGATAAACAACTATGGTGATAATGATAGTAATCATAATGATAATGATGATTGCGTTTATGCTAGAGGTACTGCAGTGATCACATGATAACATCAGAAACGATACAAATTTGAGTCGAGCTGACAAAATGAGTTACTTCTCGCAGTCCACGAATGGACATGTCGGCCGAATATAGGCACTTCAAATTTGTAAATTTTAAACCGATACATTTTTCTTCACGTTTAATGATCTACTTTTATCAGTTCATAATGTGCTAAAATTATATCAATCAAAACTATAACTTTGACATAATCTACCTGTCAGTGTCCACAAGACCAGAATTCGAAAAGTAACTCATTTTGTCAGCATTCTTCACAAATCTCACTCACTTTGATATCGTTCCTCATTTGTGACGTCAAGGGGAATAAACCTCACTTTCTCCTCCCCAAACTCTTGGCGGAATTCTCTCTCGGTTTTCTCCCCTGCCTCTGCATTGATGTCCACAAACACCACCTGCCGATGGTAGCAAACGTTTCACTTTCACGCTGTTTTAGTTTTTAGTTTTAGTAGAGGTTTTACGGCGCTCGCAACTGCATAAGGTCAAATGAGCGCCAGAAGATTTAGAGGTGTTACAAGAGAGTACATGTAACAAACATAAAAAAGAAGAAGGGGGGATAGGGACGATAGATGTTTAATAGGAAAGAAACAGCAAACCACACCAGAGCACCCACCAACCACCCACTTCAAGCTGTTTAAAAATACTTTTTTTTTAAATTAACAAATTAGTAATGAGTGTAAATAAGTATGATGAATACAATAATAATAAATAACAATCAAGCCTGTCGTAAGAGAGAGAGAGAGAGAGAGAGAGAGAGAGAGAGAGAGAGAGAGAGAGAGAGAGAGAGAGAGAGAGAAGGGGAGAGAGAGACAGTGAGAGAGAAAGGGTAGATTAGGGTTCGGGAGGAGAACAGAGTTGCATTCATTGACTTTTTTCCACTTGGCAGTGCGGGGTAAGAGTGAAAAAGAATGTCGTCACCGTTAGTTCGCTGTTTCCTGGACAAGCTGTACGTGTAAATCTGAGCAAAGGGTAATCAATCGTGAGAGTTAACTATACCGAGGTCTATGTGGCAGGGAGGGGTTGGGGGGGGGGGGGGGGGTTATGTATTTGAGTGTTGGGGTTGCTATGTAACGGCGCGTTCTGGCAAGTCAGCAAATACCGTCTGACATCGTAGTGAAATCAATTGTCTATGAAAAAAATCAAATCGGAGAAACCGATAGATCTATTTCTCCTCCTGCTACCTAGTTTTTATTGATTTCTTTCTTTATTGACTTTTGTTTTCGTTTTGTTTTGTTTTGTTTTGTTTGTTATATTTTGTTCAAGCTTTATTGTAACTCCTTTTAAAAACAAATTTCTCAATGGATTGTACTGAAAAACAAAACGTAACTGAGATGCATACACAATATAAATTTGCAGTTCTCTCTCCCCCATCTCTCTCAATCTCTCTCTCCGTCTCTCTCTCTATCGCTCTCTCTTTTTCTTTCTTTCTCTCTCTTTCTTTCTCTCTATCTCTCACTCTCCCTTTCACCCCCCCCCACCTCCCTCCCTCTCTGTAATGTATATCTTTATCTCTATCTCTCTTTTTCTCTCCTTAGGTAAGTGAGAATGAGTGTTGTTGCATTCTCAGCAATAACAAAAGTAGAAAATCTATAGCAGAATAAACAAGACGATAACAAAAGCAATAAATATGCCAATGTCGTCAGCCCGTTCCTGTTTATATATATATACAATGTACATATATACATTATATATTTACAGTGGCGAAGTTAGTCTGGCAAAAGTCGAGACAGGTTTTCGAAGGCAGACGTAACATAAGCGGTGATGCCTTGTTACTGTTAAAGCGCAGTGTATTTAAAACAATAATGTACTCATCTGTCAGAAACGAAAAGAATGACAGAATTGAAATTTCAGC